CCCCAAAACCCCAAAACCCCAAAACCCCATTAAATTGTTCCAAGAATATTGAAGAATAAGTAATTATATTCGTACAATATAGTATTTATAATATAATGATAAACAATAAGCAAATGCAAAGCTTTGGGAGAAATGGAGGTCAGACACAAATTTACCCTCAATAGTCAAATGCTCTAGATGCCATTTCTTAACTTTAACAGGTCTAAAGTATTTTAATCATCTTTAATTATCATTTATTTAGCTTGAGATGATCTTAAAAATGCGACTATCGATTCACTGATCGACTATATATCACCAAGCCGTTTTCAAAAGCAAAACAATAACTATTTCTAATAATAACCTCAAGTGTCACAAAATGCCGCACCAATCAGAAATAATGACATCACGTTAAATCCAACTCCTAATTAAAATAGACAAAGTTATACAAGAGTGCTTTCAGAAAATCAGATACTTAAAAATAAGCTTTAAAAACTAAAGCAAGAGACTAAAATAACCAAAGCTGCAGAGAACAGGTTAAACAATAACAATAGCTTACAAGGATTAGACACAAAGAGAAGTAAGTAGAATCTTCTGGGAATGCTATTGGATTCCAAAGCCGCAAACTTTATCAAGTCACTTGCAAATAATCCTATTTAGTCAAGTAGAACACATCAGACTCTAAAACAAGATGATACCTTTATCACAGAAACAAATCAAACTGATAACTCATAACCAATTGGATTCGTGGGTACTAAGTAACAGATGTAACTAGATGAGATGCAAAGCCAAAAGAGTAAAATGGATGCTTACAGTAATGTGGATCACAAGATTGTAGAAAAGATTCGAGAACTTAGGTCTGAGTATGAAAAGAAACAAGAAGAAGCTCTGAGGGAATAAGCTATCAATGACGTTAAGGTAGAGGCAATGGCTAAGAAAATACTTGACATGGAGTAAATACCAATACTTTAATAATCAAATTTGCTTTAGTAAGGCTAAAAGCGATGCAATATAGAGGTACAAGGATGAAATATTGGCTAAACAAGAAGTGCAACAAAAGGTTCAGGAACTCAAGGAATACATTTAGGAGCTAGAGGAGTAACTTGAAGATGCAAAGAGCAAAATAACCTAGCAGAACCCAATGATAAGTTAGATAAAGACCGTAACAGAGAGGGAAGCCATTAATTAGCAACTTGAAAAAGAAAGAGAGTAGATGAGGTAGGAGTTGAACAAGGGCCTTGAACATATAGATGATGGGGGAGGTTATGAAAATCTGGGCAATAAAAAGCGAAAAGAGGGCTGCTGGCATGAAACTGAGAAGCAGGTTCTTAAAATATGGAGGAAGTTTAGTCCTTTGTCATAGCGATTAGCAAAGATATCCAGAACTAATGAGAGATCCATAGTAGCTTACTTTACCTTTGTGAGATTCATTTTCCTTCTATCGTTGCTGTAGGTCTTAGTTTTCACATATTTGATTGTAAATCATGTGGCCAGAACTGATAACTTCAAATCTATATGTGTATTCAAGTTTGTACCTTGCTTTATGTTATACTCTTCCTTTGAGGATGATGAAGCATTAGGTTATAGTATAACATTAGTTATATCTCTAACACTAAGTGTGATTCTATGCCTCTCTTACTTGATTTCTTAGGATAAGACTAGAAGAATCAAGTCTTAGTACATGAACGATGGGACTAAAAAGTTTACCAAGCTCATCTTTAATGCTATTGAATGGAACATCAGAGATAGATCAAAGAAAGTTGATATTAAAACTTAAATATCTATGGAAATGAAGAATCTGCTGAAAGAAGACGAGGTTAAGAAAGCTATTGCTAGTAGAACTAAGCAAGAGAAATTCAAACTTTTCCTAAGAAGGTTAATTTCCTTTTTGGTTAACATAGCTGTAATCGGCGGTGGTTGGTATGCAATCTACACGGTCAATGTGAGGCAAGATGAAATCGAAACTAAGCTAGTTGATTTCTAATCTTGGCTTAAATATGTGGCAGACTTTGTAGCACCACTTTGTCTCTCCTTTATAAACATTATCCTTCCATCAATTACAAACTAGTTGATTTAACTTGAGAAATGGGATTTCTAGTCTACTGTTATTATAAATGAAATCCTGAGAAACTTTCTTACCAAGCAGTTCAACATAATCTTATTCTTCTTGCTGAATATAGATATGTTATTCCCTGAGACACTTATTTCAAGCGAGGATATTATAAAGTTTAAAGCCAGCACTTATCCCTGTGCAGAGATTCAAATTTCAATAAACTTCATAAGAGTTGTAGCAACTGAGCTAGTCATATTTATTCTAAAGCACCCAGTCAAGTTTTGTGTTCATAAACTGAAAAACATTTGCAAGTAAAACGCCAAATATGACAGACCTTATGATGAAACTTTTACAGAGAAGCCAAGGATCAAAGTTTCTGAGGTAAATTAAATCATTAAGACTTATTACAAATATAGTTCATTGTCTGGACACTATACATAACTACTGTACTCTGGCTATGCCCGATGTTCAGTCCATTGTTTCAATGGGTGATTCCACTCTTTTTATACTTGATTTTCTACTATTCTCTCCTTTGCATCAAGATGTTCTACTAGAAGTCATCTTAATCAGGTGCCTAATCCGCAGAAGACAACACAACTTACTTGATATTTATATTTGTGAACTTCGTATTCTTAGGGATTGTGAATGGTGCCTATGGATATTTCTTATTTAGATAAATGAATCATACCTGTGGTGCTTTTGTAAATTATTATGCTGCTATTTACCCATTATTCGACAAAAGCACAGTCGTTTACCAGTAAATTACTAATTATTTTATTTTATTTATAGCATAATGGATTTGCTTACATTTCCACCAATACTAATTGCTTTAATTTTCCTATTCCTTGGATTAGCTTTGATTAATCGTAACAAATCCTAGGTGATTGCCTAGTTCATTGAAAGCAAAGAAAGAGAGTATTAGCTTTTGGTTTTTGATTTACAGAAGCGTATCGATAATTTAAAGAAAAGGTAAAATTTTATGCTTGGAAAAGCAGAAAAATCACGTAAAGATTCCGCTCCCACTTTATTAACTGCTGGGGATATGACCAATAGATTGGAAACGTTTAGATGAATTTGAAATTATTCATTCAAGCATATTGAATGATTACATATTATTTATACAGTTGGTGCTTTAGTATTTCAAATATTTATTTGCTAATATTATTTGAATTCTAGCATCAAGGGGTTTTGGGGTTTTGGGGTTTTGGGG